AATGGTCAGGACATAACAGCAGATGCCTGCTCTGGACAAGCAGTAGTACAAGCCATCATAGGGGAGTCAGAGTCTACTCCTACTATAGCACTCACGAAAACTACAGGACCTTTTAACATCCCAGTGGTAAGGATCAATGATTTTAATTATTATTTAATAACAGTTTATTTAATAGTTACAAAACACACCTAAACATGCATGAGATGATTATCTTCATTTATAGAAAACATTCTACAATTAAGTCATTATATATCTATTTTTATCTATTTACTAATCATCAATCCTCTGATATGAGTCTCTTCAGCCTCAAAAGCTAAGAGAAGCTCAATGTTACTTTGAGACACAATTCTAACAAGGAGGTAAATTATGGTAATTATGTTTAATATTCCAACAAATGTGCATGTTTATCCTAGATACGTATTTGTTTTTGAGCAATGTCTGTTATTCTTATGGGTGGCACAGTGCTGCAGTGGGTACCATTGGCACATCACAGCCCTAGGGTCCTGGGTTCAATCCTGTGCTCAGGTTACTGTCTGTAAAGAGTTTTGCATGCTTTCTCCATGTTTGTACGGGTGTCATCTGGGTTCTCTGGTTTCCAGGCACTGTCCATAAATGTGCAGATAGGTAGGCTGGCAACATTATATTGTCCTTAAGTGGGAAAGAGTGCATGAACATGTCACATGTTCACCTCATGCCCAGTGTTTCCAGGATTGGCTGTGTCCACCGCAAACCTGACCAGGATAGAGTGGTAAACCTAACTGAATGAATGTTATTCTTTCTATCAGCATCATTTACATGAGTGTACTTTTGGATTTATAGTGTACATAATACATAACCATTGTTTTCACAGATTAGAATTTTCTTTTGTGTTCTTCTGTTTAATGCTAGTTGTTATTTTCACTGTTAAAACAGGCTCCTGTCTAATTTTCTCTTGCTAGGACCAAGTAAACACGTAAAAAAACAACAACAATAACAACAAAAAAAAAACTTTGGGGTAAGATGAACAAAAAACAGGATTTAGTTATTTTTTACCTGTCCTTCTGTCCTCAGATAAGTCATGCTGCCACATGTGAATGTTTGAGCAACAGAAAAGATTACCCCTCTTTCTTCAGGACCATACCGAGTGACTACTACCAGGGTAGAGCACTGGCATATTTGGTCAAGCACTTTGGCTGGTCTTGGGTGGGAGCTGTGTACAGTGATAATGACTATGGCAACAATGGAATGGCCATTTTTCTGAATGCAGCCAAAGAGGAGGGAATATGTGTTGAGTACTCTGAGAAGTTTCACCGGTCAGATCCTGCCAAAATGATTAAAGTGGCTGATATTATTAAGAAAGGCACAGCCAAAGTAATTATTGTATTTCTCGCCTACTTTGATATGAACATTTTTATAGACAAGCTTATATTAAATAATCTCACTGGCTACCAGATGATTGGTGTTGCATGGATTTCTGCTGGTGATCTAGCAACACCAGCAAGTTACAATGTATTGGCTGGAGCCATTGGTTTTGATGTGGGAAAATTGAACATTGGTAATTTTGCTCACTATGCTGTCAATGAATTTTGGCAAACAGCACTCCCTTGCTTGCATACAGAGGGAAACATATCTCAAACTGAAAACAACTGCAGCAAATATAAAGATATGATTCAATTTAAAAACTACAGTAAGGATATATCAGAATTGAGATATGCAAATAATGTCTACAAGGCGGTCTATACTGTGGCACATTCTCTACACACGCTGTTGAGATGCCCAGAAAACCAGAGTTGTGAGAAAAACAAAACAATACAACCATGGCAGGTAACACAAAGAAGAGAAGAAAATCAAGCTATCTCCATGACTGATATTGTCATTAAATAAATACTGGTTTTCTTTTCGATTTAAAGGTTGTTAAGTCGCTAAAAAGGGTAAATTTTACAACCAAAGTAGGAGAACAGGTTTGGTTTGACAGCACTGGGGCAACGGCTGCAAAGTATGATGTGGTTAACTGGCAACGAGGGTTCAATGGAGAAGTGCAGTTTAAGGTTGTGGGCTATTATGATGCCTCTCTGCCAACTGGACAACAATTTGTCCTAAATGCTGAAGATATAGTCTGGGCTGGAGAGAACAGAGAGGTACATACATTGTTTGCTAATTCTAAGTTTTTTAAGGAAATATAATCTAAATTGTAATAAATGATATTTTTAAATTAAATCAGGCCCTACTGTCCTATATAACATTTTTTGCAAACGTTATACATCCCACTAAATATACATGAAACATTTTACATCAACATAGTGCTTCAAAGTAAAAAGTGCAAAACTGTAAATCTGTGTGGATTTCATTAGTAAACAAACAATTATGGCTTAACAGCTGCATGTTATTGTCAGATAGAACCTTAAAATTCAAAGGTTGTAGGCATAATATATTGTCCATATTAGAAGCCAAGGTCTGTGTGCAGTGAGAGCTGTCCACCAGGAACCAGGAAAGCTGCACAGAAAGGAAGGCCTGTCTGCTGCTACGACTGTATACCATGTGCAGAGGGAGAGATCAGTAACCAGACAGGTAATTTCAGCATTACCAAGTTTCAAAGACAAGTTGTTAATTGTACATTGTGTATCCTCCTTTTATTATTTAGGACACAGTTCCTCAGCAATGGTATTAATAAATAAAACCATAAGTTAAATTTTATTTTGCTTCTTAATGATAATAAACATGATTATTTTGCAGATTCAAATAACTGCGAGCAGTGTCCAGGAGAATTTTGGTCTAATGCTGACAGAGATAAATGTGTATTAAAGGTTATAGAGTTTCTTTCATTTACAGAGGTTATGGGGATAGTACTGGTACTTTTTTCCTTGTTTGGAGCTACATTAACTGTGTTAGTAGCTATTTTATTTCTAATAGAAAAGGACACTCCCATTGTTAAAGCCAACAACTCTGAGCTGAGCTTCCTGCTGCTGTTCTCCCTGACTCTGTGTTTCCTCTGTTCACTTACTTTCATTGGACGGCCCTCTCAGTGGTCCTGTATGCTGCGACACACAGCGTTTGGAATAAATTTTGTCCTCTGTATCTCCTGTGTTCTGGGAAAAACAATAGTCGTGTTAGTGGCCTTCAGGGCTACACTTCCAGGCAGTAATATCATGAAATGGTTTGGGCCTCTACAGCAGAGACTCAGTGTACTTGCATTCACTCTCGTACAGGTCCTTATTTGTGTGCTTTGGTTAACAGTTTCGCCTCCTTTCCCCTATAAGAACATGAACTACTACAAGGAAAAGATCATATTAGAATGCAACTTGGGCTCAGCTATAGGTTTTTGGGCTGTGCTGGGTTATATAGGAGTTCTTGCTTTTTTCTGCTTTGTTTTGGCTTTTCTCGCTAGAAAGTTGCCAGATAATTTTAATGAAGCTAAATTCATCACATTTAGCATACTCATATTCTGTGCTGTGTGGATAACCTTTATTCCAGCTTATATCAGCTCTCCTGGAAAATTTACTGTAGCTGTGGAGATATTTGCCATTTTGGCATCAAGTTTTGCTCTATTATTCTGTATATTTACACCTAAATGTTATATTATTCTGTTTAAACCTGAACTAAACACAAAGAAAAATATGATGGGTAAAATGGCATCTCAATCATTTTAAGAAACAAGTTGTTCAAATCTTCAAACATATATAAACATCATGTTAGCTGTAAAATGTTGAATCTGGACACATACTGTCAAATATAATCAACTAAATAATATTTATAAAACTTACTTCTAATTAAAATCTATCCATAACATGGATATGCATAAGAACTGATTAAACTAATCAGAAAAAAAAAATCTGTGTTGTGTCTTATCTCTGTCCATAGAAATATATTTTGTATTCAGCAGCATGCATGTTTCATGAATGTAATATAATTATCTCATTGGCACTAACAATTTGTGATATGTCAATTTTCATGACAAAAGGGAAGCTAAGAGTGATATCTTCTCATATTATTAGGCCCCAGTGTATATAAGCATAAACCAACAAATCAACCAATAAACAAACGAGTACATAATGTATAATGTAAGACAATATGTCATGATAGAATAAAAAAAATAAACTTCACAAACAAAATACGATTGTGCTAGATGATGGATGGTCTTTCCTCTACTTTTAAAATGCATCTGCTATGGTATCCATAAGATCAGCAGAGGGCACTGAAGACGGACATTTAAGACCACAATCACATGCGCTAGGCAACATTTCTCACAATATGCTTATTTATTCCAATTCAGATATAGGGGCAGGAACATGTGGAATGGTGATGGAGGTGGTTCTGGATTTGCAGGCTCTGAGAAGATTGTCCATATGGATAATCAGTTGAATGAAGTGCAAGAGGAAAGCGCTGGGAATCATTTCTGGGTTTGCAGAAGGGGTCGCATTACTCACATTAAAAGCCCAGATGTGGCATTGCGGGTGCTCGTTGTTCCCTCTTGCAGACTCAGAGGAGCTCTTGTACGGTTGTGGCCATTTACTGAAGAAGCTGCTCATGGTCACCAAAAAGTTGGCCATCGGAGGAAAAAGCAGTCTGAAGATTGTGCATCTTAGCTGGATCCATCTTGGCAGGCAAAGCCTTCTGTAATGTGACCGATAGTAATCAGTGTTTACAATGATAACATTTTAACTGATCAAGACCTCTAGTCTAATGCAACCCAAACCAGGTTAATACTGACCTCACTACTATGGCACAAACAAAGGTTCATTTTAATACATAGGAAAAAAGCAGGACAGAGGCATGATTCATCCCACAACTCAAGATGATTGTAAACAAATCAGTTTATGGTAAACTTTGGCATATCTAAAAGCAAACATAGGGCAGCTGCTAAAAGACAGCAGCAAGCATGATCAACGAGAATTAGCTGACACTCTAATAGCAAAGAACTGCATTTACAATTGGCAGACACGCTTATCTATAGTGACTTACATTTATATCATTTATATAACTGAGGGCTAAGGGCTTTGTTCAAGTGCCTAGCTGTAGCAGCTTGGCAGTGCAGGGATTTGAACTCACAACCTTCAGAGCAGTAGTCCAACAGTTTAACCACTGAGCTACATTTATACAATTGCAATTATAAAAACATAAATAATCATTTATTTCAATTACAAAGTTCGTTTTAAGAAAGGCTAAAATGTATAAGAGAATTACAGGACCCCACATCAATTCAATGGGCAAAAAAACAAAAGGGCAACTGACAACAGAAACCACTACATAATCAATTAAATTGGCTCATCTGCATGCTTCCGCTTTGCTACACTCATGGTAGACAAAACGAAACCTAGAAGGGGCGGAACATGGAAGATAACTCAAAAGACATTAACAAGCATATCACAAGAAACAAATTGCATAAATAAAAATGGCAAAACCAAACAACAAAAACAAAAAACAAAGACACATATCAAAATAAAGGCAAAAACAAAAACGTAAACCAAGACAAAGACAACAAAGGCAAAGACAGAAAGCAAAATAAAAGCAAATACAACTAGGTAAACCAAAATAAAGGCAAAGTATGACAATGTGAGCATGCAAGCAAGATGGTGTTGCACACAGATGCAGCGGACCGGGGCTCCCCATGTAAATGCCACTTTTTCTTTTATCTTTATTATCTCACTTTATTTTTAAACACACTTACATTAAAGAACCAATTACAACTATTGGATATTGGACTAAAAAGCTTCAAACCATCTCCTTCTCCCCACATCCCAGACGAGCTACTATGGACAACAGAGCCTGCTTGGGTCACCATCCAGGAGAAGAGGAGGTGCAGGTGGCGGCAAGAGAGGAAGCAAAAGCAAGTGTAACGCATGTCGCGTCATGAGTGCAATCCCCACTCTCACCCAGTGACTGATGGAGATGAGTGTGAAGAGGGTGCACTATTTCCAGATTTGGACCAGCTAACAGAAGACTAAACTCGCTCAAGAGACAGGCTCGACAACAAGGAGGAAAGGAAACACAACAGCACTGGATGCATTAGGAATAGGTAAGATGTATTGGGAAAACAAAACAGCAAAATTCAAAACAGTGTCACAAATTGGGAAAAAAAAAACCAGTAACACCTTGTCCCAACGATTTAGATTTACACTGTTTTCTTGTGTTTTTGATCCTATTTAGCTCTTTAACTATTAGTAATTTTTAATTTATTAATTAGTTTTTCCTTCCTTTGACCTACTTAGGTTCAAGCTAATAAAATTAACTACCCTTTATCTGCTAATATCTGTTTATAATTACTCTTCTCCTATTTATTTAATTTGTTCCTAATCAGTTTGTTTATTGTGGAAAATAGTTTTATATTTGATTAGAGATTTTCAATTGATAATTCTTTGGAATACCCTTTTCCTTGTTTGTAAACTACCAGAAAATAGAAAAAGAAAAAATAAATAAATAAAATACAATATAATGTCAGAAAATGGAAATCACAACAAACAGCTTAGAACAACAATTTCAATATAAATTGGAATTTCAGTCAATTTCAGTCCCAGTCTAATATTGCTTCCACGAGATCCTTCTTCCGGGAATGACTCAGTTCTGAGCAAAACAGTTCAGTCAGGAAAGGGAAAATAATATGTCCTACCACCCTGTTGATTACTTGATCCTCAAAGCTCAGTCCTTATATGGGCATGGCTTGCCAGTTCCTGCACACAGTCACGCTTTTTAACGCGAAGCAGGGACAGTTCAAGTTCAAAATCCTCTGAAATCGCCCAGTGGCCAGAAAAAATTGAGAAGCATCCAACTCAGGGAGTGATGAAAAGGGAAAGGATAGGGGAAAAAAATGAGAAAAGACAAAAAAAAAACAAAAGAAAAGACCCAACCTTGCAAAAGACAAGGCCAGAAGTACAATTAGACATTTCTTTGTAAAATATACATCATTACAACAGTAGATCTGTAAATAAAGCAACATTCAACATACTGAACTCCATCTTTAGCTAACACTAACACATTGAAGCTGCATAAATGTGTGAATAACATCTTCAAGTGACGCGTTTAGGCCTCATCTGCCCGTATCACGTGCGTCACGATTAGCAATTAGCTCATAGCTCAATAACACGACGTAACAATTAAAATCACACTCAAACTTTTCAAAAGTAGCTTTCAACCTTGAAACATTAGTTATTTCGCACAGTCACATAATATTCTTCCCATTTTGAACAGAAGATTAACTTTTATATGTCTTTTACATTCAACATGTATATAACACTACAGCATTTAATATTTGAACACTATTTACCCAACATTCACACAAAAAACATCAGTAATTGAGAATTCATTTACTCCACTTACCAAGAGAATTCAATTTTCACTTAGAAAGACTCGAGAACGGCAAAATATCCAACTTTAAGAAGTGTATTTTTCCACCTTTGTAGCGCTCACGCTAACATCCACTCGTGGTCACTGACTGATGACGTTCAATCCGCGCTTCTATCTCAAAATATCTACTATTTCTCTGATACAACTGTTAGTTATACTTGTTTACTCTTTTTTTCTCTTCTTTTTCAGGATCACCTAATCACTGCATCAGGAGCAGATTCACCAGCCATTTTTTTCCTGGCCAAAGAACATTCTCTCCCCGTTTCTCCTGGCACCGGCCCTTTTAGGCGAGGCTCTCTTCCCATTCATCTAATTGGGCGAATTTTCCACATGTTCAATTAAATAACTATTCTAAATGAATCTTATTATTATTATTTTTTTAACTTTATGCATTTTCTTTTAAAAAAAAAACTCTTAACTTCACAGAACTTCACAGATAATAAATAAAAAAATAATAACTCTGGCATATTTGTGAATGCTATTAATACTCTTTTTTTTCTTTTCTTTCAGCTTCAACAGGACTTATGGTAACCTGGGTTACACAAGGCAAGTGAGCCAGTATAAACGCTAGGCTAAAGAGCCCCTCTTATTAGCCCACATTCTTGAGTTTGTCACGACCACCCAGTCCATATCCAACAAAATCAATGAGGTCAGACTGAGACTCTTTATAAACAAGATGGACAGCTGTGCCACTATTTTCACTGGAGCCTGGCTGAACGCTAACATCAGGACTTAAAGACAAAGATGGTGGTGTTTGTATTTATGTAAAAGACTGATGCACTACAGCTGACACTATTGAGCAATTCTGCTCTCAGGACTTGGAAGTCATGATGTCAAAATGCAGACCCTTCTATCTACAGAGACAATTCACTGTTGTCATCATAAATGCACAAGCTAAGCTAAAACAGGCTGAACTTCATGATGCTATATGTGAACAATAGAACGCACACTCAGACAGTGTTTTCATAACAGCAGGGGATTTTATTCAGTCCAACCTCCGGTCAGTGCTTCCCAAATTTTACCAGCCTGTAGATTTTCCAACCACCAGGAAATATACCTACAAGAATGACTACAAAGCATCCCCCTCCATGTCGGCCGGTCAGATCACCTTTCTTTCTTCCTAGCACCAGCGTACAGACCCATCATTGCAAAATCAAAACAAACCATGCTAACTGTAACAATCTGGCCTGAGGGAGCCATCTCAGAACTAGAGGACTGCTTTGATAACACTAATTGGGATCTGTCTGCACGAGATGCCACCAGGGCTCTCACACAGACTTAAACATATATGTCTTCTCCGTTCTAGCCTATATTAACTTTTGTATGGATAATGTTACCACTGTAAACAACATTTGCACATTCCCAAACTGGAAACCTTGAATGAACAAGGATGTTCAGACATCCTGTTAAAGGTTCGTTATGATGCCTTTCATGCAGGTGATACGGGGGCCTACAGAACAGCCAGCTCTGACCTAAGGAAAGGCATCAGGAAGGACGAGGCATCAGCACTGCCATAAACCGCAGAACGAAGTGCACTTTAGCAGCTCAGACCCCTGACGCTTGTGGCAAAGCATAAAGTCCATCACTGATTACAAAAGCAACAACATCTGCCTAACCACAATCAACACATCTCTCTCATGAACTGAACAACTACTTCACATGATTCGACAGAGACAACAGTGAACTCATCAATACGTTGATGTTGGTAGGGGATACACAATCATTTGTGCTGAGCTCCCATAAAGTGAGATGAGCCCTAAGCCACACCAACCCTAACAAAACTGCTGGACCAGATGGAGTTCCCAGATGGGTAGTGAAGCACGGTGCTGGGCAGCTGACAGCAATTTTCACCAACCTCTTCAACATCTCCCTAGTACAAGCCACTGTACCCACCTGCCTCAAGTCAGTGACCATCATTCCAGTTCCAAAGCTAACAGCTGTTAAGAACCAGAATGATGATTATACGGTAGCACTGACCCCCATAATCATGAAGTGCTTTGGATGACTAGTCCTGGCCCACAAAAAAGCCACATCTCCTCCACCCTAGACCAACTACAATTTGCCTACAGAAAAAAAAACAGTTCTACTGAGTATGCTATTTCTCTGGCCCTCTACACTGCCCTGTCACATCTCAAACGGGGTGACACCTACAGTCAGGTCCATAAATATTGGGACATCGACACAATTCTAACATTTTTGGCTCTATACACCAGCACAATGGATTTCAAATGAAACGAACAAGATGTGCTTTAACTGCAGACTGTCAGCTTTAATTTGAGGGTATTTACATCCAAATCAGGTGAACGGTGTAGGAATTACAACAGTTTGCATATGTGCCTCCCACTTGTTAAGGGACCAAAAGTGATGGGACAATTGGCTTCTCAGCTGTTGCATGGCCAGGTGTGTGTTATTCCCTCATTATCCCAATTACAATGAGCAGATTAAAAGGTCCAGAGTTCATTTCAAGTGTGCTATTTGCATTTGGAATCTGTTGCTGTCAACTCTCAAGATGAGATCCAAAGAGCTGTCACTATCAGTGAAGCAAGCCATCATTAGGCTGAAAAAACAAAACAAACCCATCAGAGAGATAGCAAAAACATTAGGCATGGCCAAAACAACTGTTTGGAACATTCTTAAAAAG